CCTCCCCGGGGATCGTTTCAGGGGCGCGCCAGGCGCCCGCGCCTCTGGCCTCGCGGACTGCCCCGGCCCGCCTCAGGTTCCTCTCGCTCGTCCCCGGACGGGGATGGGAGGAGAAGAACCTGGGGAAAGTTTGGCCCGAGGCCAAGGGAGGCTCTCCATCGTGCGCCCTTCCCCGGGGCTGGGTGCCAGGCTCCCTTCGGCCGTGCACCCCAGCCCTGGGTGATGAAAAGGGGCGCCGGGGTTCCCCCATAGCTGGTGGCCCGGCTGCGGAGAGGGGAAGCGAGAAGTGGGAGGCTCCATCATCTCGCTATCCCCAAATTCCCACCCCTGCGCTGGGCCCTGGGGACACCTTAGCAATGCGGGCCCCCCCCCATCGTGATCAAAGGCAGCTTCCTGGGTATTAGGGTCTGGCCCTTGCGCTCTCCGAAAATGTTTTTGTACCCCGCTTCTGGAGGTGAACCTGGGGGTGCGGCCCGAGAGGGCGTGTCGGGACTTGCCTCATGGCCCGCTGGCCGGCTTCAGGGTTTAGATGCTGCCCCGCCGGGAGTAATCCCCCAGCTCCCCACGCTGTGGGCGTGGAGGCCTTTTATCCAGCTGGGTGTCTCAGGAGGCCTCCCACGGGGAGGAGGCCCCTGCAGGCACCTACTCAGCTTGCCAGGAGGAACAAAAGCGACCTGCGACCGAGTGTTTTCATGTCATCCTCACGAGCCTGTCACGCTGGCTCCATCTTACAAGCCCCAGGTCTCCACACCCTGTGCTCTGTGTCCTTCTGGAGGCTTAGAAGGGGAAACTGAGTCACAAGCAAGACAGTGACACTCCCTCGGTGAACGCAGGAAAGAACTGAGTTGCAGGAGATGGAGTCAGCGCCTAGCTGTGTGTTCTCCCTGTGAGTCATTCCTAGAAACATGACAGTCTTTGTTCTCCTGACCACATCGAGTCCAGAGTGACAGGCAGGAAATGGGTTATGTCCCCCCAAAATAGGACAGAAAGGGGCAAGGTGAGGGGCAGGATGTACCCATGCCCTCCCCCACCTCGGGAGGGCAGGGGGGCTGCCAGGGGCCTCTCTCCTTGTTCCTCCCTGAGGGAGCTGTGGGTCAGGGCTGCTCCGAATCGCGTCCTCTAACGGTGGCCACAGAGGCACCAGGAGACCTCCAGGGACGGCGGGCACCCACATTCTTGTTCTGGAAGGGTGGAGAAGAGAGGAGCAAGGCCTTTTCAGTAGGCCAGAGCCTTGAGCAGGCGGACTGCTCCGCGCTGGTTGTGAGATCAGCCTGTCTCTGGGCCCCAGTTTCCACAGGGGAAATGAGGATTCATTCATTTCAACAAATACTATTTGAGCACGGACTCTGCCCCAGGCACCAGGTACCGCAGCAAACAGGAAAACTAGCACCGACTGAGCTCCAGCTGTGCACGAGGCCCGTGTCGCCACCCGCTCAGGACGGCCCTGGTTATCCTCTCATTTCCCAGGTGTGGGGCCCGCGGCACCGGGAGGTCACGGGTCACCCAGTCGGTGAGTGCTGCATTCCGACCTCTACCCTCTCCTTGCCTCCTGGGCTCTCCTGCCCCAAGCTAGAGGGGTCGCCAGTTCCTGGAGAGTCTGGCACAACTCAGCGCTGGGGGAGGGGACGGGGCGCTACGGGAGCAGGCCCAGGAGGATGCGTTTTGTCAATGGTACGAGGTTGAAGTGAGGCATGGAAAGAACGCAGTTTCATTTGCTTCCTCTCCCAGGAAGCGTGTGCGTGTATTCCAGTGGTTCCCAGCCCTGGCAGCATGCCGGGATCACAGAGGTTGCTTAACAAATAAATAAAAATGAACAAAGCCAACACCCAGGCCCGGGCTCACCCCCGGGATGCTGACCTAATTGGCCCAGGTAGGGCCCAGGTACGCGTGTTTTGTAAACTCCCAGGCGACATTAATCATTGGCTACCACAGAGAGCTGTGTATCTAGTGGATGCAGACTAGAGACCTAAGAGACAAATCAACCAAATGCGGCGTGTGAACCCTGGACAGAGCTGATTTGAGCAAACCAACTATGAAAAGATATCTGTGAGATGATAGTGGAAAATTAAGCACAGTCTGGGTGTTGGATAATATTAAGACATTATTGCTAATTTTAACAGATGCGAGAGTGGTATCATTGTGTTTTTTAAAGCCCTTATCTGTTAGTGACACATCTGGAAAAGTATTTATGAGTGAATCGATCTGAAGACTAGGTTTGCTTTAAAAGACTCCAGGAAAATAAAAAGGTGGCAGAGAGAGGGTGGTGAGTGGAGAGAGATGGAGCAATAACGGAAAAATGTTGGTAATTGTTGAAGTTAGGTGGCGGGTACGTGGGGGTTCTTTATACTATTCTCTCTACTTTCGTATGTGTTTGAAATTTTCCAAAATAAAAAGATTTTTGTTAAAAAAGAAGAGAGAGAGGGAGAGCGAGCCCACTTGGACAGTTTTCCTGGCAGCCAGGTGAGGCGCCCGGGCGGAGGAACTTGTTCTTGGTTGTGGGTGGGGGCAGGTAGTGGGAAGCTGGTGGGGGCTACCTCATGGGCTCTGGGAGGAGAGTCAGGCTCAGGGGGCTCACCTCGCACCACCCACCTGGAAGCAGCTGCAGCGACTGAAGGGGGGGCAGCCTGGAACCCGTAGACCCTGGGGACTAAGCTGGGCAGCGGCCCACACCTGCCTGTGATCAGAATCACCTGGAGCTGTGGGAAAAGGCAGGTGCTGGGGGTGGGGATTCCTTAGGTGTGGGCCCAGGGGTGGGGGGTTGTGAAGTCAGGCCCCTGACACCTGTCCCCCCCAGCCCTCCCTTCTCAGCCCGAGACCCCTTGGTCTGCAGAGGAAGTAGGAGAAGAGTAATTAGAGCAATTCTGCCCCCTTCTTCCCCTTGGGATTAACGGCTTGGAGAGCAACTTCCTGTGCCTGATTCAACAGGAGACCCAACGTCGCCTGAGCGCCTGCGACACGCCAGGCAAGGGTCGAGGCTCTGAGAATACAACGAGTGAGCGAGATAGTCAAAACCCCTTCCCCTCCTGGCTGTTGGAGTCCAGGTGCTAAGGGGGAAAGAAAACGGAGTAGAGGCTGTGAAGGGTGGGGGCAGGGCTGAAATTTTAGACATGGTGGACAGGGAGAGCCTGTTGGAGAGGGTGGCCTTTGAGTAAGCCCCTGATGGGAGCAGGGAGCCGAGCAGCTACCAGGAGGAAACGCTTGCTGTGGGGGTTCTGGGTTCAGGGTGTGGCCCCAGGGCGCAGAGTTGTAGGATGCTCCCTCCTCCTGAAATGTCCTTCCTTCCCCCCACCTGTTAATTCCTCTGGACTCTCATAGCTCTGAGCAGGTGTCCCTTGGCTAGT